CATCCCCTGAGGGCTGCTGGGCTGCCAGAGGGATGTCTGATTGCCATCTTAGGCCCAATCCCCTGGGGAGCGGGCCTAAGCCAGCAGGTGGTCATCCCCTGAGGGGTCCCAGACTGCGAGAGTGCACAGGCTGGGCTGAGGGAACACCCCCCCAAGTGCACAAATTTTTGTGCACTGGGCCTCTAGTTTATTATATAAGATAGCAGCTCATTTCAGTCTACTATTACATGAAGCATCATCTAACTAGTTAGTGACAGATCTGAGACCAGAATACAAGCTTTCTGACTTCTTATAGTATATAAAACTATCTTTAGATATATATATATTTCTAAAGTACCTCTGTGGTACTTATGCAATTTGTTTCCACTGACTGTTCTCAAATATATGTTAGTAATCCCCAACAAAGCCTTATCTACACTTACCATTTACAATCATTTTCAAACAAGCAGAACATGGTTTTCTGGAAAAATAAAGATCACAGTTTTTCAGCCTTGAGCCATGTTTTATAAGAGCAATTTTCCCAGCATGTAACTCTTCACTCGAACAGTGAAGATCAACAATTTTCATGTTTTTCACCACCACAAGACCAGTTTTCTTCACCTACATTAAAACACAAAATAATAATTTATTTAGTTATAAATGCTAAGGATGATATCATGGATTATACTTTATTAATAACATAAAAATTTGTTTCACTCATTACTTGAACAGGTTAAACAAAAGCATATTTTTTATTAGGTCCTCAAAAATTTTTTAATATTTAATACTGGCTTTATACCAGAAATGTTCTAAATCGTAAATTACGATTTCTTAATCAATTAAGCATTTAATTCTCATTAATAAAGTCCTAGTGAGAAATGAATACATTTTGATTTAGTAAAAGGCAAGACCCAAGTCAATTCGACCTTTTTTTCTTGTAGCATCTAGTCTAGGACTATTTTTAGTATTAAGCTTCTAGATGGTCATAAAATAAATTTGGAAAACTGATTTTACACATGAGTAAGTAAATCCTGGAAAGTTTACATGACTTTCTGAAAGTCCCACAGATGGTAAACAGCAGAACTAAAGGAGAGGTAGTCCTAATTTTTAAAATATTTAAAATACTGATTAAAATTCTCAACTTCTTTCATAAAAGCAATTTTTAACACTATGGCAGTCTAGATTAATGTGGTTCCACTTCCAACAAATATATTATTTATAATAAAAAATGTTTTTAAATGTATAGTCAAGCTCAGAAGAATAAAAAACATACTTCGGGTATTAGAAAGAGAGAACTCAAAGGCAGAGCAGTAACCGCAGCATTATCCCACCCTCAGGTGGTGGATCGGGCTAACTCTGCTTTTAAGTCCTGAAGGTTGCAGCTCTTAACAGTTGTTACTTTAAACCTAAAATGTCCTAACTAATACAGATACTAGTCAGAAAAGCTGGTGTAACAATATTACTATCAGATAAAACAGGCTAAGATAAGAATCAGTTCTATGTAAGGCACAAAACAGTGTCAGCTGTTTTCAGTGTAAGACTGCAGTTAGGCAAGTAAACCTGATCCTTGGGTTCTGGACTAATTGTTACAATATGAGGGGACCTTGTTTCTCTACTCCCTTTCAAAGCAATTTTACTCTCAGTTATATCCAATAGGACACATTTAAAATCATTTTAAACATCAGACCAATGTTATATTAAATAATATAGTCAAGTTTCAGTTTCAGCTATGAGTATAAATGTTTGACACTATGGAGAATATTTTGTAAAATGCCTTAAAAAAGGTATAAATAAGATTTTATAGAATTCCATTTCTAAGTTAACCAACGATGTCCTAAACTATAGCAACATTTAAAAGGAATACAAAAATCTTTCAGTTATAATATTTATAACCAAAATACATCTATTATATTAAAGATCTATCTATATTGGCTTTTAAAATAAGCTTTAAATTTACCTTGAATTTGTGAACTCTTTCCCTTCCCATCCCAAAACTTTCTGGAGTTTTGTTTCTCAATTACAAAGTATATGTTAATATCTACTTCTGAATACTTCCAGCAATTGTTCTTGGTTTTTTTTTTAAATTGTAACTTAGGAGCCCTAGCAAGTTTGGCTCAGTGAATAGAGTGTCAGCCTCTGGAATGAAAGGTCCCAGGTTCAATTCCAGTCAGGGGTGCATACCTCAGTTGCAGGCTCAATCCTAGCCGTGATTGGGGCATGTGGGGAAGTCAATCTATCAAAGTGTCTCTCTCACATCGACATTTCTCTCTCTCTAACTCTCCCCCTCGCTTCCACTCTCTCTAAGAAAAAATAAAATTGTAACTTAGGAAAAGAACTGGTGAGGCCTTATCAAAAGATGTTACCATGCAAGAGCCCATTTTATTCAACTGAACCAATTGTGACCAATGGAAATGGCTGCCATTAAGTGATTTTAGTTTTAGGTTTTCTGTTAAGTACACAGAAATAAAGCCAGAAACCTTGACCACAAAAGACTTTTTTAAAAATTGTTACTCATAACCAATTTATTTATTTTTATTAGAACCACCTTTTAAAAGATCCAAGTTTATCACTTTTTAAAAATATAACTTTATTGTGGAAAGTATTACAGATGTCGCCTTTTTTCTCCCCCTTTACCCCCTCCTCCCACCCCTTACCCAGGACTTTGCGCATTATTGTCTGTGTCTAGGGTTATACATATATGCATAAAATTTCCTTGGTTAATCTCCTGCTCGCCTCGCCCCCTCTCCCCTCATCTGAGATTTGACAGTTTGTTGCAAGCTTTCATGTCTCTGGATCAATTTTGTTTGTCAGTTTTTGTTCATTAGATTCCACACATAAGTGAGATCATGTGATACTTCAATTTCTCTGACTGGCTTATTTTAATTAGCTTAATACTCTCCAGGTCTCCCCATGCTGTATCAAAGGATAAGAGAAATACACCCATACACACAGACACACACACACACACACACACACACACACACACACACATATATATATA